TCACAGCTCACTCCCCTCACGTTCCTTCAAGGGGAATCCATGCACATGCCCAAAAGTCCGAAAAAGGTGCGGCGTGCACAGGTGCTTCCTCCCTCATCAACAACCCTTGCTCCTAACAGGTCAGCACCTCTGGCTACACCGTCAGTCACCTGCTCAAGCATAATTGTCGCACACACTGGTAGAAAGCATTCCTGTTTTCAAGCACTTGAGACAGTGCCCTCTTGAAGGCTGGCAGAGCTTCTGCTGAGACCTGAAGAAGTTCCACCTCTGTGAGGTCTTTGCCAGCTCTAAACTCAGCTGTTTTTGAACAGAGAAAAGAGCATTAAAAATCACTGCTTCAGGGGCCAGTGCTGTGGCCCAGCAGGTTAGGACAGTTCCTGTGAGGCCCGCTTCCCAAATGGGTGCCAGTTCAGGACCCAGCTGTTCTACTTCCCATCCAGCTACAGCTCCCTGCTAATGCATCTGGGACAGCAGTGCAAGACAGCCCAAATCTTAGGGCCCCAAAGAGACCCAGAAGAAGCTCCTGGCTCCTGGCTTCGGATTGGCTCAGTTCTGGCCATTGTGGCCATTTGGGGACTGAACCAGAGGATGGAGGCCCTCTCTCTGTAACTCTGTCTTTCAAATAAATAAAATATTTTTAAAATATTTTAAAATAAAATAAATATTATTCATTTATTTAAAATAAATAAATAAAACTTTGGGGCTGGCGCTGTGGCATTGTGGGTAAAGCTGCCACCTGTAGTGCTGGCATCCCATATGGGAGCTGGTTCGAGGCCCGGCTGTTCCACTTCCCATCCAGCTCTCTGCTATGGCCTGGGAAAGCAGTACAAGATGGCCCAAGTCCTTGGGCCCCTGTACCTGCATGGGAGACCCGGAAGAAGCTCCTTGCTCCTGGCTTCAGATCAGCACAGCTCCAGCCGTTACAGCCAATTGGGGAGTGAACCAGTGGATGGAAGACCTCTCTCTCTGCTTCTCCTCTCTCTGTGTAACTCAGACTTTCAAAAAATCACATAAATCTTTAAAAAACTCTTTTTAAAAAATCACTGCTTCATCCAGATTCAGTGTGTCCTCTTTACATGGGCAAACACATAGCGTGGGATCTTTTATCTCAATGAAGTGTTTTCTAAAAGCCCGTCTTTTTAAAAACTTACAATTTCTTACTTAAGTTTGTTTTTAGGCCCTTTCAAATATTTTCCCTTCTTTGAAATTGTTGTCGTCATCAAATGCAAAAGGCTGAAGTTGAAGGCCACGCCGTTCTCCTCGCTCCGACTTTTTGATGACTGCAGCACAAGGCCCTGCTGGCCTTTGTGGTCCCTCACAAAGCCTCTTCTTGTCACCAGGAAGGGCCCCAGCCTTGAGGAATGCGGCAATGCACAGAACAAGCACCCAGCTCTGAAACCTGGACACAGCTGGGCCTCCGAGACCCCGCCCCAGGGCTGCCAGTCCGGGGGTGGGGGGGCAGGGGGGTTGCTTTTTAACCAGGAGCTCACTGTATCCCAAAATGTACCCTCAGAGGGCTCCAGGACTAGGGCTCACAAGCTGTAACCATCTGAAGTAACTTTTATTACCATCTCTTTACAAATTCACTCCCTTATTTGAAAGGCAGAGTTCAACACACAGATATCTTCCATCTGCTGATTCACTCCCCAGATGGCCCCAATGGCTGAAGCTGGTCCTGATCAAAGCCAGGAGCCATCTGAGTCTCCCATGTGGGTACAGGGCCCAAGCACTGGGGCCATCTTCCACTGCTTTCCTGGGGGCAGGGAGCTGGATCGGGACCCCAGCCAGCGCCCACATGGGGTGCTGGTTGCAGGCAGTGGCTTAACAGGTTGCATCACAATGCTGGCCCCACACGAGGCTACTACTGAAGCAAAGAACTGGAGATTTTATCTGTGAGATGGCAATAGCCTGATAGGGCTAGAAGCCTGGCTCACTGACCCTGCCCTAAGCTACATGGGTACTGAGTGCAACCTACTCCCCAGCCTTAAAAATGTCCGTCACTCTCTGCTTCTCAAATACATGAATTTTTAAAAATACCTGCCTTAAAAAAAAACCTAGACTCTACTTACACATACACCTTAACTAACAGGTCCCCAATGCAAACCAGAAGGCCACAAGGCTACAAGGAGAGGAATCAGAGCGCTGTCCTGCAGGAGAGACAGCAGCTCTAACAGAGGAGGGGGCAGCACGTCTACCCCTTGTGGTCCTTGACACGTTCATTCCTTCTTACGGAGGATAAACAACTTTGTACCTCTAAGTTCCATGAACTAGAAATACAATTTATTTTTAAATTTTGTATTTATTTTTGTTTGAAAGGTGCAGAGAGACAAAGGCAGAGATGTCCCATCCTCCTGTTCACTCCCCAGATGCCTACAACAGCCAGGGCTGGACTGGACCACAGCAAAGCCAAGAGCCAGAAACTCAATCCAGGTCTCTCAGGCAGGCAGGTAGCAGGGACCCCAGTACCTGAGCCCGCTGCCTCCCAGAGCACACGTTAGCACCACCCATCAGCAGCAAAGGGGCCTGGTGCTGTGGCATAGTAGGTTAAGCCTCCGCCTGAGCAGGCATCCTATATGGGCACCAGTTTGAGTCCCAGCTGCTCCACTTCCAATCCAGCTCACTGCTAATGGCCTGGGAAAACAATGGAAGACAGCCCGAGCTCCTGGATCCTGGCTTTGGATTTGCCCAGCTCCAGCCACCACAGCCATTTGGCAAGTGAACCAGTAGATGAAAGAGCTGTGTCTCTGTCCGCCCCTCTCTCTGTAACTCTGCCTCTCAAATAAATAAGTCTTTAAAAAGAAATAAGGAATGAAGTCAGAAATTGAACCCAGGCACTCCAATATGGCAAGTGGCCATCTTAACTGCTAAGTCAACTGCCCGCCCTGAAACAGAATGATGACCAAATAACGCCATGGTTAAGGCTGCAGGCTTTGGACTAGGCAGCCAGGATGCATCCCAGGTCTATGACTTCTTAGCACTGAGAGCTTTGGGCAAGTCAGCCACCCCTCCAGTTAAGACGCCCCTCCCACTTCCAAGAACCTGGCGTCAATACCCTGCTCTGGCCCAACTCCGGCTTCTTGCTAACACAGAACCTGGAGGCAGCAGCTGACAGCTCAAGTGGCTGGGGTCCCAGCTCCCGGGGTTCCTACCACCCACACTGGGAGACCCCAACTGGGTTCCCAGGCTCCTGCTGCACCCCAGTCCAGCTCCAGCGGCTGTGGGGAGTTGGGAAGTGGATGGGCGGATGGGAGCTCTCTTTGTCACTCTTTGTCTCTTTGTCACTCTCAGTCTTTCTCTCTGCTCCTGTAACAAATAGAAAGTGAGCATGACAGCACATCCATCCGCAAGGGAGAAGGCCCGAGACACGCAGCGTCCACTCCACAGCAACACCTCCCAACGTTGCCTTCATGGATTCTCCTCACAGCCTCCATTTCTTCTGGGGCCTCCTTAGGACCCCCTCAAAGCACCCCTAGCTCCAGCCCCCTCTCTTCTGCTCACCTCCTCTTCAGGTCCCTGTGACAGCAACACGGTAAAGCAGAGCCCTGGGAGCAGGGCAGAAGAGACTGAGGAGCCGAAGCAAGGCCACAGCGCCCCCTCTGGCTGCCCAGCCCTGCTCACCCATTCTCCAGCACCCCAGCCCTCCCACCCCTGACCACACACAGGGGCTTCAGGGCACCAAGGACAAAAGGGGCAAGTGCCTTCTCTCCCAACAGGGCATGCAGGACACCAGCAGACATGAGATCTCTGTCTCTCTGTCACTTTCAGATAAAATAAGTAAAATCTTTTATTTAAATTGAAGGCCTTTTTTCAAAAAAACATTTTATTTTGAAAGTCGGAGTTAGAGGAAGGATCTTCCATCTACTGGTTCACTCCCCAGATGGCTCCAACCACCAGCGCCAGGCCAGGCTCAAGTCAGGAACCAGGCACTCTATCCTCGACTCCAATGTGGTTGGCAGGGGCCCAGGTACTTGGGCCATCCTCTGCTGCTTTCCCAGGCACATTAGCAGGGAGCTGGATGAGAAGTGGAGCAACTGGGACATGTACTGTTCCCCAAAACACTTTTTTAAAAAATGTTTTGATTTAACAGGTCCGTCAGACAGTGGGAAAGCTTCTACAACGTGAAGCTACAGCAATGGTGTACATTTCTCTGTGGGTCACAGAAACCTTCTCCACCGCCGTCACCTGTCCTCAGTGCAATGTTAGGCAACTGCATGGCTGCGGAAACCGCACTGGGCTTCCTACCTGGGCTATACGGTGTGCACGTGGTTCGGGCTACAGCTCCCAGGACCACCGCAAACAAGACAAGATTAAATCAAGCACCAGGCAACATGGTGCAATCAAGAGTCACAGCAGAGAGTGATGCACGAGACGGCTGCCCACATGACAAGCTGTGCTGCTCTTTTACAAACAGAATACACTGTAAACCAACCATAAAAAGTATTGCGCATAGGAGTAAACCGATCACAGTCGTCTATTACTGAGTATTACACACTGCACACAACTATACATGACATTGTTACATGATCAGCCACACAGCACGCATGTCCACGCCAGCAGCACCACAAGCACGTGTGTACTGTGTTGTGCAATGCCGACATGGGGACGGCCACCCTAAGGCTATGATGCACTTGGTATCTGGAATTTTCCCACAGTAAAACAACACTATATAGGGCTTGACTACCCTTGAAACCCACAACACAGACAACAAAAAACAAGCAGGAAACAAATTCAAACCTGGGCATGTTCAAAATAAAGAACCAAAGGTGCCCCAAATGACCAAGGAGCCCAGCGATGATAGTAAATGAAAGGACAAAAACAGCACATTTTGTTGTAAATTCAAGCTTCAATACATTCATAATGAATCAGTGGTTGTCCCCATGGGGCAACTGTCCCCAGAGCCATGAGTGTGTGCAGTCACAGGGCCTAGGTGCTGGTGAACATGCTACAGGACACAGCCAAGGGCAAACACGCCCAAACCCCACCCTAACCAAATACCATACCATGGGCATCGTAAACATCCGGGAACCCCATCACCAGCCTCAACAGTTACGGGAAAGCCTCTGGTCACCAACCACTTTCCATCTGAGCAAGCTCACCAGTCCTTATGAAGTAGGCAGGCACACAGGTTAAAACTGACTAGGTTTGTGAGGTGGAAGACCACGCCTTAGCCACGCCCCGTGTGACCTCACGCACTACCTGATACCTTCACCACGCCCCTGTGTGACCTCATGCCCCTACCTGGCCACACCTGGGTGCCCACCACCCAATCAGGTTAATTAACCATTCCCCTTTGGAAGTGGGTTAACTGCCAGGGACACAGTGTGTCCAGGCTTCTCTTACGCCCCTCTCTTCTTCCCTGGCCTCTTGCCAGGAGGGGGCTGGCTGTAGTCCTGCGCCTCCAGGGCACGTGGCCTTCAGGCCACCCACCCTAGGCTTCCTGGCCTAGATGCTCCTCCACATGGCTGGTTCCTGGTGCTCGGTATGAACCCAGATTTACTTCTCTCTCTTACTAAAGCCCTCACTTTCCTATGCACCTTTCTCACTAAATAAAGGCTTATAATGTACCATGCTGCCTTGTTTATCTGTGCCTGTATTTAGAATTCTTCTCTAAATATTAGGCAAAAATCCTCTTGGGCTTATTAATATTGGGGATTTATTAGTAAGCACATGGTGAAATCGTAGGGTACCCCAAATTCCGGTAGCATAAGTGGCACCCCAGATGGCACTTCTGGGGAACTCTAAGGGGCCACATTCTTGTGTAGATTTTAGGGGGTCCTGTCCGATTTCACTTATCCACATGGATTCCTGTGATCTCACACAGATCTAACAGGAAGGGCCACTGGAAACCAAAGGCTGTGGCTGGTGTGACCCACAAACCACACAGAAGACAAGAGAGAAAACATATGCAGGTTGTGACTTTAACGTACAGAACGCTGTTCCTACTATGGTATGTATGTATCTAGTCAGGTGTGTGAAAGAGCAGAGAATGGAAAACATTTAAAGGAATTCAAGCAACAACAGCAAGAAAAATGCTGTGATTTAAAAATGGGCAAAAGACCTAAGATCAACCCCACAAGAAAACAACCAACAGATGTATGAAAAAAATGGTCACATTCCCCAATCATCAGAGAAATGCAAATTATTTTTTTTTTTATTTATTTTTTTTTATTTTTTTTATTTTTTTGACAGACAGAGTGGACAGTGAGAGAGAGAGACAGAGAGAAAGGTCTTCCTTTGCCGTTGGTTCACCCTCCAATGGCCGCCGCGGCTGGCACGCTGCGGCCGGCGCACCGCGCTGATCCGATGGCAGGAGCCAGGAGCCAGGTGCTTTTCCTGGTCTCCCATGGGGTGCAGGGCCCAAGCACCTGGGCCATCCTCCACTGCACTCCCGGGCCACAGCAGAGGGCTGGCCTGGAAGAGGGGCAACCGGGACAGAATCCGGCGCCCCGACCGGGACTAGAACCCGGTGTGCCGGCGCCGCTAGGCGGAGGATTAGCCTAGTGAGCCGCGGCGCCGGCCAGAAATGCAAATTAAAACACAGCAGCTGTTATCCCCAAGACAAGTGCAGGCAAGGAGACGGAGAAAAGGAGATTCTCACACAGTAGTGGTGGGAAAATCCTCATGGAAAACAATAAAGAAATGCCACAAAAAATGAAAAATCAGACTCCTGTATTTAACACAGCAATTCCACTACTTGCTACACATACCCAAAGGAACTGACACCAGTATGGTGAATACATAAAGGGAAAAAAAAGGCCTATGAAAAAAATGGAATTAAAAGATAAGTTTATGTTGGCAAAAAGACTGAAATCCATGAAGAGGCAGGTTGCAGATAACACACACTTTGCATGAAGTTTTCTGAAGTGCCCTTGTCTTGCCCCACGTTGGATGCAGCATTATTCCATCTGCTAAGACATGGAATCAACCTTCCTGCCCATCGGCATGTAATAAGTATTCACCCTTAGAAAAGGAAACCCTGCCATTTGTCACACCATGGGGAACCTGGAGGGCACCATGTGAAGTGAAATGAAGCAGACACAGAAAGACAAACAGCACATGACCTTTCTCCCTGAGCACCTAAGACCGCTGACCTCAGAGAGTCGAAGGGCAAACAGCAGGGGTTAGGGAGGAGACGTCCAAGGCCAGGAGAAATGAAGCTGGGGAGACCTAGTGAACAACACGGGGACCACAGCTAATAACCATGTACTGTATTTTGCAAATCGCTGAATGAGTAGATGTTCAGTATTCTCAACACAGAAAACGGGGGAATGTTTGTGTGAATTAGCTGTAATGAACCATTCCACAATGTATACATACTTTGAAACATCATGTCATCCGTAATAAATGTGTGCTGTTTTTGTGAATTGTAAAATAAAATAATAAATCTCGTTCACTCATAGGGGTGAGAGCACCCAGCCCCGAGGGTCCTATCAAGCCTGCCAAGGTGACCGCAGGTGGAACTTGAAATTCAATACACCTATGGCAGGCTCATGTTTAAGTTGTTCATTCTGAACGGCCCATGAATGATGCTATAAATATCCAACTGGCTCCTGGCAGAATAAAGGTTCCTGAACACTGAACAGCAGAGCAACAAACCAGGGTCAGAACACCAAACTGGGACCTTGTTATCAAGTTCATCATCATCTCAACATCAGACTCCACAGATGCTTACAGCAGTTTCCTAGCCTCCTAGCATAAAGCACTGAGAAGTAATCAAGTTCATTACACCCAAGAAGGAAGCATGGTGGGCCCAGATGCACAAAAATCCCAGTTTTCATGAAGGAAATGGCCTCTCTTGCAGAAGACAGCAAGATTAAAGCTTGCATCTCTGAAAAGTCCACACCATTTCTAAGGAGCAGAGAAAAGAATTCAGCCTATGAATTTAAAAGCATTTTCACATACCTGGAATACCTGGAAGGTACCCATCTGGAAGAGGCAAAGAAACTATCAAGATTCCAGGTTTTGTTTTTTTCGGTTACAAGGTAACCAACTTCTCCACAAATTAGATACACACAGTGTCAGCTAACAGAACACATCACGGTTAAGGTCTCCACCCATTCTGTAAGTGGCCACAGCTTCAAAAATGCCCCATCGATGAACAGGGCAAGATAGGGATGGAGCATGTGAGGGAGTTAGAAAACAGGGGAAGGTTCACCTGGATGCGTGAGTCAGGTTTAAAGGCACCAGAGAGCCAATTCCTTCCCTTTGCCAAAGGATTTTCACTTCGGATTGATTTCCACTCCCAACCCAATCAACAAACTTCAAAGATTCAACTGTGTCTCAAAGAAACAACTAACAAGGGCACGACTACCCTGAATGGGTGCAGCGAGAGGATGCCCTGTCCTTGTGAACTACTGTATGCAATTACCAGCACAAACATCTCTCAAATGCACCACGGAAAATTTCTGTAAAGGAATCCTATTTTAGAAAAGTGTGAAAATAAGAGAAAAATTAAAGAAGTGATAAAATGTGTGTGTAAACTAGATTTTCACATATTGGGCTGGCAGAAAATATATACTTCCGAAATGTGGCATTCAGGGGCAGGCTCTGGCCTAAGAGTTAAGAGCCTGCTTCCCATACTGGAACGCCAGCATTCAATTCCTGGTCTGCCTCCTGACTCCAGCTCCCCGCTAATGCAGATCCTGGAAACTCAAGCAACTGGGTTCCTGCCACCCATATGAGAGATTAATTGGGTTCCTGGCCCCTGGCTTCCCCCTGGGGAGTGAACCAGCGCATAGGAGATCTCTAGTTCTGTCTCCCTGTCTCTCCAATAAGCTTAGAAGAAAGGAACACAAACTAGCACTGCACAGGATTCCACTCACTCACTAAGGATCTAACAGACACTTCAGATAAGCCAGGAACACTTCCAGGTGGCTGAGAAACAGCCCTGCTCCCAGGATGCTCACGTGAAGGTTCGATGCATCACTACAACAACAAGAAAGGATGCTTCTCTTCACACAGGCTGAGCACCCCTCACCAGCAATGCTGCAACGCCCTGAAAGCTGGAGCTTTCTCAGCGCTGACAGGGTGCCAGAGGCAGAAAATTCCACAATCATGAAATGGCGTTGCACCCCAAAATTATTAAAAAGACAGCTTAGGGGGTGGACATGGTGGCCCCACTGGGAACCACATTTCGTGCTGGTGTGCCTGGGTCCAGCCCCGCAACAGCTTGCTTCCAATCCAGCTTCCGCCTAACGCACCAGGAGGCAGTGGGTGGTGGTCTAGCAAGGAGGCTCCTGCCGCCCGCCCCCGCCGCCGCCGTTGTGGGAGAGCAGGGTGGGGTTCCAGGGGTCTGGCTCAGCCTGGGGCAGCCCCAGTTGTTATAGGCATTTGGGGAGTGAAACAGCAGACAGAATACCAATCTCTCTCTCTTTCTAATAAATAAATAAAACTAAAATCTGTATGTCCTCCAAAATCATCTTCATGCTATATGCACACGAGGTGTATGATAAATCCGTGTTTAGTCTCAGGTCTCATCCCCATACCTTATACTCAAATATTCCAAAATCCAAAAAACTCTGAAATCTACAACACTTGTGTCCCTGCATTTGGGATAAGGAATACTCAGCCCTGTACACAGCCGAGAACTGTATGAACCGAGGGCCCCAGGCCAGCTCCTGCTACTATCATCACCTTATCCTTCCATCAGCTCCTTGCCAGCTCCGGCTCCTCCTCCTCCTCCTCCGCTTCCTGTCCAAACGGCAGCCCACAGTGACTCAGGGGCTTCACTGCTGGCGCCCCAAGCACAAAGGGCCTGGGCCTGGCGCCTGCCCCCAACACCCGGCTGAGATGGTAACCCCAGGAGTGAAGAAGCAGACGGTAGGGACAAGCTGGGACTCGGGAGGAAGCCAGCACTTGGGAAACAACGCAACAAAAACCCCTGCCCTCACGGAGATGAAAGTGTGTGCTGGGGCGGGCTCGGGAACAGAACGGAACACAAGGCTACTTCCGAACATGTACAGAAAAACGCAATCCCCAGATACCAGTGCTGTCCATCCAGGTACTGTTGAATGCCCTGCACACTCTACGGAGTTAGGGGAAAGCAGAGAAATAGAACAAGGACGGAGTCCAGGAACAGGGCTCACAACTTGAAACCAGGCGCTGGGAAAGGTCAGAGCTCCGCCACAGCAGACGAACCCAATCAATGCTTTTTAAAAATGAAAAGGCTTTCGGTGCCGGAAATTTCCAGTCTACAATAAGAGGATGTGTCAATCAACACATCAGTAAGGAAAAAACTCAAAAGCAAAAAAATTAATCAATGAGTTATTTTCTTAATCTCCTCCTGAGCAGGGATATTTTTTGATGAGAGAGAACAAGCAGACGTAAACAATTCAACTTTTCAACAGCCCATTCAAAACCCGATCTGTGCAGGAGGCACTGGAGTATCTGCAGGAACTGACCGGAAGGAAATGGCCTTGGGACTCACAGTACGGAGTGAGAAGTGTCCAGAAGACAAAGTGCAAGCTGCTGTGGGACCCAAGAAACTCCCGCGGTGGGCAGCCGACAGACTCAACACTGCAGTAAGAGAATTGCACGCACTGAGAGCCACGCAGCCCTCAGCGGGTTCCTGAAGTCTACACAGGCAACCACCAAGATACAACCAGGGGCTGGCGCTGGGCCTGGTCCCCAAGACACCTGCATCCCACATGGAGGGCCTGGCTCAGACGCCCAGCTCTGGCTCCTGACTCCCGACTCCAGCATCCTGCTGGCGCAGACCCTGGGAGGCGCAGGCAGCTGGGTTCCCATCACCCATATGGCACACCTGGACTGGGCATCTGACTCCAGTCCAGGCCTAGCGGCACCAGCCAGGGTAGGAATGTGAGGAGTGAACCAGCAGGCAGGATTTCAATTGCTCAATCTCAATCTCTCTCTCTCTCTCTCTTGGGTCCACCATATTAGGGGCTTTCATGATGTCACAGAGTAACAGCAGCCAACTGACGTGGCGGTGGGCGAGTACCTTCCAACGTTCAATTCCAATTCTGTACCTCCCCAGTGCCTGTTATGTGGCTACAGCAAACCTCCGAGGTTAACAACAGCATCCAGGCGTCCAGCCAGGCA